GGAGTGTGGAGTGGGGGAGCAGCACCTACTGAGGAGGGGCCTTGCTGCTGTTGCTGCTGGTACATGTAGTAATTGTGGTTGGAGGGCTGCATGTCACCAAGGAGTGAAGAGAAACCTGCCGAGTAAATGAAAGAGGAGGGAGCTTTAAGAGAGCCTGGGTCAGACCTCGGCTTACATTATCCAGCTCTAATTTCACACTGCTCATCCCACTATTTATGAAGCTTTAGGAGTGCCCTCTACAGGCTGCCAGCAACCATCACCTGTGCAGTTATGCCCTTGCTGTGCTCCAGACACAAAACGAAACGCTCTACAACAAAGACACAGAAGGATTTTAGTACAGCATTAGGCACTTAAGTTCCTCCCTGGATTTTTTCCTAGACTTACCAAAGTTAGACCCAACCTCTCCTGAAAATGTCAAGCACATGTTGTTTTCCTATAAATGAACATTAAGCATACTTAAACAGTAGAACATTTAGAAAACTGATAACTTAATGCATCTGACTTGCTTGTTTCCTTCAGTTCCCTTCTTACAAGCAGTTTGGTCAGGAATCTTCACAATTTTTCTCATATTGATCATAAGAGGTCATAAAAGACTCTGCTTTTGTACAAAGAGCATAATGCACACACCAAGGCTCCTTTATTACTTTCATTCCTCCTGACTTACTGGGTGTGTCATTTCTATCCTCCTGTATTTCAGGCAACCCCTACACATGAGAGCATCAGGTATTTTCCATCCTTCCCCAACACCAGGAGATCAGCATATCTCTTATGTCTTCTTCCCCTGTTCATTCTCCCCACACACTGAGGAACCTCCATGGAAAACCACAGTCAGGGGCACTGCATGCCATTAACCTGAGCTACTCACTTCCTCCTTTGAGTACCTTTACTTGACCATCTGCAAGCAAGCCTCACATTTTCACTAGATTCAGCATCACCCTTTGAGTACCCTACTACTATCCTAGGGCAAAAGGATGAATACTGCCATCCTGACTCAAGAGTTCCCAACAAAATTTTTTCAAAAACTGCAAGTTTTCCTAAACTGCCATGCAGCCTACAACTTGGAGGGAAAAAAACAACACACAGCTGCTAAGTTTGTAAAATCATTTTTTTAGCTTGCTCATACTACAACACTTCACACAACAGGCTCCTACTACTAGGAGTGCCAGCATGATGAAAGCACTGAAAGTATATACATTTTTATTTCACTGCAGCTTCAAGTTCAGGAGATCCTTTCTGAAGCGACAAACTTTGCCTGCACTGTGTGATGGCTGATAGTACAGGTGAAAAGCTCATGTAACAACATATTCCTTTTCACACCAGATTGATATTTAGAAGAGTGTTTAAGGGCAGAAAGAGCTTTAAGTTTTTCTGAAGTATTTTCCATGACATTGTATCCCTGAAGTGACTCTGCCCTCTTCTGGCTGCTTATTCAATCTCAGAAATAAAAGATATGAATGGAGTTGGAGGCCCTCTCTTCTCTGCTCTCAATCCACAAAGCTCAATTCTTCAAGGCCTTGTACAATCCTGCTTTTAACAGATGTGAGCAATGATGATTTTCCACTCTCCTTCTGACAAACTCCAGATGCAACAATCCCCTCCCTCTTACGGTTTCTAGCTTGACAGACTGTGAATGTTTGTCTGACATGCTTTTCTTCAAGACTTCATTTTTCTCAGCTTCTGCCATTTTAGTATTTGCATTTGTATCAACACAAGGCATTTCTAAAACATTGTGCTTTTTTATTCTGAGAGAACTAGGGGGAGCAATGCATAAAAGGACGTGCAGATTTCTTATCAGCTCCTGGCAGAAGTAATTACAGCATGCCAAAGAAGGAAAGTCTGTTTGCACAGGCTCCTAAACGAGGAAAGATCTGAGAGATGCTAAATGGACAAGACTGTGTGGGCAGATACCTGCCCACCCCACATGACGCATGTAGTTACTCACCGTGCTGAGAGGAAGATGATTTCTCCAGCATGGATTTGTAGAGATTTCGGAAGGACCAGCTAAGATCCTGGAAGTTGATCTCAGAGTAGGAGAACTTGAAGTCATGGTTGGCACTGTACAGTGGAGGTGGCACATCAGCCCCTTCACGGCCCTGCCCCCCTGCTACAGTAGAGGCAACATCCACAGGCCCTGTACCCTGCTAAGGGAGGCAGAAATAAGACCTTGAGTCTGTGCTAGGATTTGCAGCTTGAGACAGAGATCAGACTAGATAACATACACTGATATTCCATATCACTTAGCTCATCTTCCAACTAATCTTCCCAAAGGCCATCTTTCTTGAGGAACACCAACCACAGCACAATGGCTCCAGCGTTTTCTTCAGCTAATACCATTATGCCTTTATCCTTATCCCCATCCAACCCTTTGCTAAAATTCACTTCCTCCTTATTTTCTGCATTTTCAGCTCCTTCCCTTCTTTTTATTTTTGCCTCTGTATCACAATTTTCACAATTCCCTCTCCTCACCACTTTGCTTTTCCATTCATGCACTCCTCCTACTCTCCTTTTCCTCCCACTTCTATCCTTTTCCCCACAGCTCACCTGACTGTAGTTAGCAATGGGGGTGGTGCTCTGGATTGACATCTGAGGGGTAGCCTCAGGTGGCAAAGAGGCTTCTGTGCCGACTGGAACAGCCCCTCGAGGGCTTTTACTTGCCTCTTGCTCTGGGGAGTCTTGTGGTATCTGTGGATGGGGAAGAAAGAGACAAGGAAAGGAGCAGAAATCAAAAACAGATGGAGAAGTGAAACTGCAGATGGGAAGCCAGCTCCCCCGCTGCAGAAGTTCATGGCTTAAAAAAGAGGAGGACTGGGCCTTAGTCACGGAAAAGTCAGGATAAAGGACTTCAAACAAGATTAACTTTGCTACTGAATAGCAGCAGCAACAGGCAACCAACAGGCCATGCATACTAGTTTCTTCAGTCCTGGACTTTGTCTACCCAACTATATACCCTGACCCCAAAACATTCCCCCCAAGAGAATTCCCAGTCCACTCAATGCTGTGTGGAAAGACAAACACTCACATCATCATCTGGAGGGTGCCTTCTCTTGCGAGATATATCTGGACATGTATCTATTGTCCAGTAAGAGCCCTGGAAAGAAAACCCATTGGTGAATGAATGATGAAATCATAGAGCTTCCTGAAGTAGGGGGCTGCTGACTCAAGAAAAGCAGCACCAACTAAACACAGGACCACCAGGACCACCCTCTAGAACCTCAGACACCCAAGACTCTGGTGTTGCCAAGAGATTCCTTTCTTGCACTGGGTTGCAATGAAGTATGAGGAACAATGCTACTGGTGGAAGGCAGAATCCTCTACTTTCCACCACTCTTGAGACAGAACACAAAAGGATGGTTTGATCCAAGCTAAGTGAACTCTTTTGGGCCTGCACAATCCTTTCAGTGGCCTCCTCATGACTTGAATTTATGATTAACTCATGAGAACCAACTCAACATTGGTATTTGGCAGAGACAGCCAGAAGGATTGCTCTTTGTTCATGACTGCAAGACTCCAAGCATCCACAGAGGGCCCAAGATGGCTAAGAAATAAACCATGGTTAAGAACTAAAACAAATTATGTACAGAGAGGTCTGTTTAACACAGACAAGAAAAAGCTAAGGGGATCAAACAGTTGTCTTCAACTGCGTAAGCATATTATAAGAGAATCAAATTCTTCTCAAAAATGTACAGCACAAGAAGAGGCAACAAATACAAGTTACAGCAAGGGAAAGTACAGTCAGATATAAACAAAACTTTTGTCACAATGATGGTGGTGCAGCACTAGAACAAGTGCCCAGTTTTGCTATCTCCATCCCTGGAGATATTCAAAATCTGACTGATCTCACACACATTTGACTGATCTCATCACATTTGACTGATCTCATCAGCCTAATGTGATTGTTCCTGTCTGGGAGAGGACAGAGGTACATGTCAACTCCTAGACCTCCCTTTCACCATAAAACAGTGTATAATTATGTGTGTTGTTTTCTGATTAAGTATAGAAAGAACTCTAAAGTGCATTTAGCTTGTTTTAACCTCCCATCGAGATCTGAATCATCTGAATAGGCAACAAGCACAGGTTTACATTATAAACCCAGCCTGACATGCCAATGAACACCTGCAAGCATATACCCTTAAGTCAGTTAGGATTTCCTGGAATAAGCCACATAATTAATGGTATTTTCAAGCTGTGATCCTCAAAGATCTACTATTTCCATTTATAGATGCCAACTGAGCACCACACAGTCCTTTAAACAGAACCTGAAATAAAGGCCTGAGCAAATGGTCCTTTCTTGTAACTTTAGGATGAGGGGGAAGAGACAATCCTTGTGTCTAAATACACAGCTTCTTGCCCCTACCATCTCCTACTGTTTGGTTGTGGGTTTTTTCAGACAATATCTGCATGCCAAGATGCCAAGTCTTGGTTTTGCTAGCAATTCCCCTTTAAAATCTATGTGTATTATCAGAGCTTTACTAGTTCTTAGTTAGCCAACATATTCCTAAATTCTTGAGTTTTACTCGTAAATAATTTCTACAGATTTAAACTATGTGATGATGACATTTTTCCAACACCAAATACTTTGCCATCTGTATAGGTAGCAATTCTGCTCTCACTTCCATGGATCTTGCCTCCATGAAATCCATGACGTCATATCATAGTCCTATTGTTCACCAGCAGCCACTATGCTCTCTTATAACAGAACAAGTTTGATTATACCCACATTTTACACACAAAGATTAAAAAAAAAAAAGACCAAAATTAATAAAGTACATTCAATCACACTTTTGACTTCTGACAGTAACTTTAAAGTCAACTGAAGATCACAGATAAGAAAAATAACTACTAAAAACCTTAAGTTCCTTTACAGGTTCCCTTTAAGTAAATGCTTCTGTAGCTGAAGGACTGCAGTAAATCTTACTACTGCTTCCATTTTTGCCTACACTTTAGGTTTCAAATTCCAACCATGAGTTAGAAAGGGCAACCCCAGCTTATTTTCCTGCAGTTTTAAATTGCTTGCCCAGGAGCAAGCAGATTTCTTACCTTCCCAGGATCATCTCTTGGTCGAGGCACCTTTCGAAAACATTTATTCAGAGAGAGGTTATGACGAATAGAGTTCTGATGAGAAAGTAAGAGATACAGGTAAGTGCTACAACAAAAACATACAGTCTTCTGCACTGGAGCAGAGAAAATAGGATGGTACATAAAAGCCAGAGCTCACTACATATTGCTGGAATGGGGCAGAACAGAAGCTGTAGAAAGGGCTAGATTAAGAGGTTAATACTGGGCTGAACCAGCTCTACACTTATAGAAGGTGCAATGAAAATAGTATCAGTGTGATGCAGAGGATGGTAGTGACGTGTGTTCTGTGGGTTTTTTGGGTGTTTTTTTTTGTTGTTGCTGTTTTGGGGTTTTTTTTGTTTTGTTTTTTGGGTTTTTTTCCTTGGTTGGTGGTGGTGGGTTTTGTGCACACTCCTTAGTGGACCACCACATATGTTCAACAAAATTCTCAGAGAAAATGGGACTGCTGGCTCTGCATTTTCTCCAGTTAGTCAACTTAGTTTTACATCAGTCTTATTTTAATCAGTGAATTAATCTTAATTAGTGCATAGAATTAAGAAAGTAAGCCTTATAATCAGGCAGAAAAGGGTACTTCAGTGATGCAAGCCCTCACCTTCCAACCAATACCAGCATTTTTGTAGTAGGGAAAGTTGTCGCAGATCCAACGGTAGATCTCACTAAGCGTCATCTTCTTGGCAGGTGAGGAGTTGATGGCATATGTGATCAAAGTGGCATAGCTGTAACGTGGCTTCCCATCTTGGTGCACTGCTGCCTCATCCTTGCTCAGTGTGGCATTGGGATCTGTTGGTGAGCCTGGGGGACACTTTCGAGCAGACCCTGGAGGTCCTGCTTGTGAGGAACCCCCTAATTTTTCAATAGTAGCCCTTAAAGTAAGCTGTGGGAGCCAGTCTATGGAAGTGAGGCTGCTTTCCAGGTCAGAGGCCATAGTGCTGGAACCAGGAATATCTGTGAAGATGAAGGAGAGGAAAGGAAATCCCTGAGAAACAAACAATTGGATTCTTCTCACGCTATCACAAATACCTGTATGAATATCATCCTACTTCATGCATCTTATTCACAGCTAGCCAGAACCATTCCAAAGGGTCCATGACTGTGCCTCAGGGAGGACCATTGGTACTGAGAGCAGCTGGGACAGTGCTTTTTGACACTGATGGTAACATTGCTGGGGCAGTCTTACCCAGGGCACTGCTCCCAGGTAAAAAGCCAAGATCTGTTTAAGGGAAGTGGAGCCCTTTCAGCAGGTTTATCATATTCACTCCTTTACTACATAATCCATATAACCTTGGTACTCTTCACCAAGATTACGTGTAATCCAGTAGGTTTACAGTGTCAGGTAAGAGGAAAATCATAGCTAAAAGGGAATACTCATTCATGCCATACACAAACCACAATTTAATTGGATCATCTGCAAAGTCAGGACTATCTTAATTTGAGGGGAAATTAATTTCTCTCTGAGGCCTAGCCTCTCTTTTTGCATTAGGTGACATTATAATGAATCCCATTCCTTACAGCTAGGATTACATATCTCATTTTAAAACACCAAGATCATGCATAATACTATATATAGATAATTACATCTACCATGTCAAGTTGGAACAGACTATATTAAGCTCATAATAGCTAAAGCTTTGCCTGCCATAACCAGTTTTTCTTAAAAAAAAATATATATACATACATACACACATATATATATATATATACACACATATATATTTAAATCCTGCTTGATTCACAATATAGCAGGCAAGTATCTTCTCCAATTCTGAGACACGGATAAAACTTACTTGTCTGAAATCACACAAGTTTGCTGCAGGAAGAGACTCAGAATCTTTTATCTCAAACGTTATATACTTCCCCTCATAAAAATAAAGCACACCTGGCTAGCAGTTGTATACCTGTAATAATTATTTTATAGAAAAGAAAACATTTTGCAGCATGAACTTGTATGAACTTGCACACTTAGCTTACTAAGTTTTCTGTAGTCTGTTGCAGTAGACAAGGCAGCAGAAAGTTCGTCATTCCTACTCACAACTGGCTGCATTACTATACTGGGAGCAATCCCTTGAAGTCTGGACTGAGGTAGCTAAATTTCCAAGGCCACAACTTTCACTGCTCTTTGCATAAAGAGAAGAATCATGGCTTGAAGGCATGCAAATTCAACACCTTCCATTTCTTAAACTAGTCTTTCCAGAAGATCAAATGGTACTGTCTTTGAGCATGCTGGAGCATAGACAAGGCAAACACACAAACACACTTAGGTATGTATAGCAAATTAAACACTTGCATACACGTAAGAGAGAAAAGACTGACACAAACACACTCTGCTTAGGAAAGATTCGTCAGCAGACACCTCCCACTGAGTGCATCACTCAGATGAGTGGATCAGATGAGACAGGGAGACACCCATCTGCATGAATACCAATTAGAAACTTGTTCTAAAAATAGGCATTTGACAATAACACAGTGTGGATGCACAGATCCAGAGACAGATGCACCCAGCATTTTGACACTGAAGCTACCCGCTCTTCCCCCACACCCATATGCATTATACCTTTCACTTCTGCACTCCAGGGCTCTCACAGCACCAAAGCAATGAAGTCCATACTCCAACGCATTCATATGCGCTAAACCTTTCATTTCCATGCATGTGCTCACCACACCTCTTAGGGCTCAAACACCTACACAAAAGCCCAACAAAATCCATCCCTCAGCCCCCACAGGCAGTGGCTTCACAGCCCTGGCCTCAGGAAACACGTCCTAATTGCACAGCTAACATCACCACTCACACTCTCATCTCAGGCACCCAGGCTGAGCAGTACAATTGCAGCACCACAGCCTCTATGGCGAGTGGAAACATGTTTATGTCTGGGGAGGAAAGGAAAAGGCCATCAGCTACTAACTTACCTCTCTACTCATCTGCCACACTATCACCTAGGACAGGCATTACTACCTGCTGCCCAGCTAACTAATTGATCCGAGCTGCAAAAGGCTTTCCATTACTCAGCCCCCTCCAGTTGTGCTTTATTGAATAACTCATTTTGACTGATTTAATCTAGTACCAAACATTTGAAATTTACACAATTTTTTAAAAAATAGCAGGACTATTCTTGAGTGAATAATACAAGGAAAAAGAAACAATATCTTTTTATCCAGTTGGGATGGACAGACCAATAAAAACACAGCTACATTTACATGGTAAGTTCACAGGTAAAGCCCTCATTGAAAGTAGTACCCCACTTGGAAGAAAACAAACATGAACTAAATGTTACATCGAATGCTTCAATTTGTAAGTGTGTCTCATATCAATTTTAATTTCTACGGCGCAAAAAATTACTGCTTCTTGTTAAACCATTATGAAGTATCAGCTGCACCAACAATACTACTCCAAAGTAAAATAAACACAAATTTATCCACCCCCTCCCCCCTTTTTTGTTTTTTTAAGACAAGCACAGAAATCACAAAAATTAGGTTATAAAAGCCTATGGCAGATTAAGATACCAATGTGAAACATCAGAAATTCAAGAAACGGAAGAAAGCACTGTTGTTTCCACAGAGTTTCATGTTTGCCCAGGTTATGTCAGTAGAGCATCTGGGGTGACTGGCTATGCAGTAAAATGTAAGGCTGATATGCAACTTCCCCATCATCAAATACACAAGCTTCTGTGCATTTGTATAAAATACACCTGTCAGGGAGACAAGCAAAATTAGAATTGGGTCACATTACACCCAAACCCTAATAAATTTAATATTTTCATTCCTTGGCTTATAAAAATCTTTGACAAGAAAACAAAATCCAAAAATCTTAAAAAAATAAAAAAATAAAAAAAAGAAACAACAACAAAAAAAAACCCACCAAACCCTATGCCTATATATGCACTTGTCACCCAGTACTGAAACAACCGCTTTTCAGTAAAACACAGCAGCTTTTTAAGAACATATACACTAGACAGTAATTTAGGACAGAAAGTAAAGAGTCAGACCAAACAGCAATCACGTGGGAAATTTCAAAGCAATGGAATAAGACCTTTTTTTCCAAGTTTGCACTTGATCATGTTACTGGATTTGCTGGCAATAGGGGATCTGTAATAATCAGGCACAGTCAAACAGGTAAGGTGGCAATTCCAGAACACTTTCAGGGCAACAATAATTCAGTGTAATTGGCTACTAAATTATTTAAAAGAATACTTGCTATGCAATAAATATTACTGTTAATTTATGTTGCATGTCTCATTCACTTGACCCAAGTGTTTGGTGCATCAGCTTGACACTACTAAGCAGCAAAAAACAAGACTGCAGCCAAACCAGAGCAGCTGATAATTCTTCCAACTTTCCTTTCTCAGCTTATTGCCTGGCAAATCTTTTGAACTCTTCTCTTATGATCCCACTCAAACAAAGAAAAGAACTAATAATAACTAATAGATAGAAAAGAACTAGTAATAACTAAAAGAATTAGTAATAACTAATAAATACATTGAACTGAAATCAAGGGTGATTCTACCCTAATGCTACCACATTAGCAAGTCAGAATTCATTTTCAAGAAGTAAAAATAAAGTCAAAGACCAGAATTCGTAATGTCCCACTTCAGAAGGTAAATGCTATCTGTTTATATATTTGGCTGAATTTAAAAAGCAAGGGTAGGGTAGCCAAGGTCATAACCACCATCAATAGCTGGAAGGTGACTGCAGAGTCTTCATTTCTCAGGACTAAACAGTTACAGTACAATCCCAAGTCAGACAGGTCGGAGAGATGCAAAAAGTCCAGCCAAGCACTGATCCTGAACTACAGTTAAACAGACAAGAATCTGTCCAATTCATAAGAAAAGTGTATTAAAGAAAATCCCTGCATTGAATACCTTTCAATAACCACTAATTCACTTGGGACTAGACCTACAGCTTTCTGGGAAAACTGCTGCCTTACTTTGAATCTTTGCAAGTAGCAAATGGAAGCTCCTGCTGCAAATGCAGGCCAGGCTCCTGCCGATGGGACACTAAGCGCCATCCCTCAGAAGCGCTGAAGGAATCTGTACTCTGCTACTTTGCAAATGCTCACTCTAAGCCAGTCAGATCTTATCCAGGATCACTGCTACTTGCCTATGAGGACAGAAAAACACATGAAATGTGGGGAACAACACACTAAGGGTCACACTGAACACACAGTTAATAAACATGTATAGTCTGAAGCATTCTCTAAGGCTGAATTCAAGGGCTGGTCAGGCAGAATCAGTTAGACTGAAGTAAGGAGCCATACAATGAATGGCACAATGCTGTGCACTGCCTGCAGAAGATGCCTATTCTAGAATAAATCTCTACATCTACATTTTTCTGTGTTTACTTTCACTGTTGGTTTATTTGCTAGTATTCTGATCCAACAAAACACTACGACAAAAAGATTTAAAGGAGACTCAAGTTTCTCAACATGAAATTTGAGAGAAAAAACACAGAACAGACTATCAAGCAATGACAGACATTGATGCAGAACACCTATGAACAGGTGACCACTTGTATTTACAGCCTGAAACACAGATCCAGTGATCTAACTAACAATATCCATTTAATATACTCAGAGATACCCCTAGTCTTTAAGGTATTAAGCAGATTTAAAAACTGTCAAATTTTGACTACAACTTTCCTGAAATAATGTCACAGTGTAAGGAGTAAAAGGTGCACAAAGAAATGGAGAGCCTCTACTTTGGTGAAAAAAAGGCAGTTCTGACATACTTGTGTAAATTACACACTCAAAAAACCCTGTGTCCTCATCTAATACAAAAAAGGGGAAAATAATCAATTTTGCAGAGTCTAGAAGGAAGAGAAATTTGCCATTTTAAGATATGTGCATTCCCTCATAAAGAAGGTGGTGCGAACTAAGATGGCAGGAATAAAAAAAATCTGATCTTCTCTAAGCAAACATTCTCACAGAAATACTTGTTTCATGTAAGAAATAAGAAAAAAGGACACTGATTATCTGCCCAGACTGAAATTGCTATCCATATTTTGGTAAGTACTTGTGAGAAGCCTTCAGGAAATGTTTATATTTCTGGAATCAAATGAAGGAAGAGAGGTTGGTAGGTATTGTTCATAAAATGAAACTTAACCTGGAAGGAATGATAGGTGTCATGTTACTGACAAAAGAAAGGCACTGCAGTCTGACAGCACCTTTCTGTCTGCAGTGCCACATGAAAGGAGGAAAACCCATCCCTGGGGACAAGGAGGTAAGAGAAATTCTCATACCCTAGAACCATGCTTCCCTTTTTGGGGAGCAGTAGAACAAGCCAAAAATGTTTTCCCAATTAACTACAGGTTTGCAGATGTGGTAACAGGAGGCACATGGTTCTCACTAGTCATGAGCCACAAAGGGAAAAGGGATCCAACCAAAGGAAGCCACTGTCACCTAAGAGCACACGGCGTGCTGTTGCCTCTGAGTATGAGCTGTCACAGTGTGCACCTGTCCACGGGGTCCGAGTCCTGCTCACAGCTACTGCGAGTGCAAGACAGCATGGCTCTGAATGCTCAGTGCTACTTCATGGCACACAGGAAGCACCGTGCTTATGGTATCCTGAATGGAAAATTTGTTCCAAGCCACACAAAACACTGAGATGGTTGTGAAAATTATCAGTTAGAGGAAGATGAAAACTTTTAAGCCATGTATAGCTTAATATAAATTGCTTGACTAATTGTTTTGTTATAATTAAACTGTTATATGGATATGATTTTCCTTTAATGAATAGAAATCTCAACAAAATAAGGTTCATATGAAGTCTCAAAGAAAAATAAAAAGAAAACAAATTTGTTTTCACTGTCATTTCAGATTAGATAAATGTCATGATAGCACATTTATCATAGGACCTTTCAATTCTCTCCATTTTGTAAAAGGTGCACAAGCAGGCTACAAATTTGTATTTTGAATTTAGTAAATGAACAGCACTGACTGTGCAGGCATTTTTGGTACTAATGAAGCATGAAGTCTTGCGAGAACTATAAAGTCACCCAAACCCTCATGTTGGAAGTGCACCAGGATTCAATTCCAAAGGCAATTATGTCCTAGCTTTGTTTGAAATTGACAAATAGTATAGTTTACAAAACCTGACCTGCTTATTTAAACTTATCAACAGATGGCATTATAGCCAAAGTCTGAAATATGCTGATGTCAAGAGAAGGAGTATCTTTATGGGCCTAACAGGCTAGGATTGAGCATAGCTAGGGCCTTGCCAGATTTTAATAAGACCAACTAATCAAATGTTTTTGTTGTCTGCTATATAAACACACAGGGAAAAAAAGCACTGAGAAATACTACACAAACATTGCAGACACTCGTAAGACAGTATGAAAATATGTGTTCAAAGTTAGGACCAGTTTGTTTATTTATGATGCTGTGTAAGGTAAAGTGGGGAATGTGTAACACCTGTCAAAAGAAACAGTAAATGATACTGACAATACTGGTATACATAAAATACTTTTGAGCTGGAAATTATTTCCTTTGTAATAAGACTACTAGAAAAGATTTATTCTAATAATAAGCCAAATGTCCCATGACAACCTTCCCAATAACAGATTTGAAGTAAAAAGTAAACCAAGCACTTTGAAGAAGTGCAATGAAAATACATCACCACAGCAGAAGTGTCTCTGCAGCATCCCTCCACCCTCAGTACCACTACGCAATAAATCACCATTGGAAGTAGCAGCTGCAATTCCAAGCATATGCCAAGGCAGGAGAGAAATCTTTGACATTTGCTTTAAGAATATTAACAGAACAATTACTCTTACACTGAGAAAGGTATAGGGAACTGGTTTTAGCATAAGTCAAATTTATGAGCACATATCTGAAATGAAATTTTCCCTTGGAAACTGGGAAGTCTGTTGTAGAGAAACAGTAGGTAAGAGCAGGTATTCCCCCAGCCCTATGACAGCCCCCAGGCTGAAGGATTTCAAATTTACCTGCCTATCAGAATCACATCCAGTAATAAACCTGCACCAGAAGACATGTAAACACCAATTTAATACCCAGATTGTTTCCAAAATTAGACACAACACCAGAAGTAGATCAGCATGCAGACTATCTTGCCCAGAAGATCTACACAGCATTGCAAAGACATATACAGAAACACAGGCAAAAAGAATGTAACATGCTTATAAATGAAAACTGTATTCTTATTCACATTAAAAAATGGGTCTCTCCGTGAAAAATTACAGTTAGCCTTGCATTTTAATGACAGCAATAGTGAAAAGCTTCTATGGCAGAGAAAGGAACGTCAGCCACGTACAGGGAAAATGAAAATCTGACTGCAAGTGGTCAGAACTTGTTCACCAAAGGCTGAACCACTGAAAACAGGTTAGTCAATATGAACTCTGCTATAGTTGCTGAAACAAACCACAACCCACTCGTGGAAATGGGTATCAAGCAGTAGCAAGAACTCTGTACTGAATTCATAGGAAAAAAGGAAATCAGCATCAAGTGCAGATTAGTTGAATACCAAGTGCCCAAAGTGTACATAGAGCACATGGGTTGACATTACCAAAGCACTGCAGAGAAGCCTGTTAAAGAGGAGTCTAAGAGCAAAGCACAGCTGAAATTGAAGTTGGAGAATGATCAGAAGAATCAAATAATACTGTGTGAGACGCATAAATTAAGTCTCAACCACTGTTTTAACATAATTCCTTTTTACTATTCTGTTAGCTGTTATTCTCAAACTGACAGAACTCTCTTCCAGTAGACAAAACACCTGACAATCCCTGCCTGGCTCACAACATGAAAAGATTTCTACCACGCTTGAAGCTCAAGAGGATTCAGAACCACACTACCACAGAACACACACCAATTAATGGTTTCTTTTTGCTTAAAACACTAGTACTGCTACTTGGCATCCTACTCACAAAATGCTCCATTTTGTGTATCATCCTGAAACTAAATCTTCTGTTCATCTCCTTACAGATACTGAAAGGAGTCTTTCTTCCACACACGCTTGCCACAGTTGTCACCTTGCAGCTGCAAGTAAATATTATTCTGCTCTAACCTTGAACATTCCAGTCTTCAAGATGTTGTGTCTTTGCTTATAACAATCTTTATTTCTTTTGCAATCATGCTTCTTCACAAAAGGAGCCAGGGAGACTGGGGTACATACAGTAGATGACTACATTTGAGTATCAGTTAGACCTTTGAATAATTTTTAAAAATGCAAATAATGGCTACTGCATACTTGAAAACAGCTAATTGCAAATATGCAATTAACAGTAGGACCCAATAATCTTAAGAGGCCTTTTCCCACCTTAATGATTCTAGGGATCTATGAAATAAGTACTTTCCAGTATGTCTGGCTTCTATTGGCTGGCAATATTCCTCTGTGTATCAAGATATGAGTCAGCTGAGGAAGAATGCAAAGAGATGTTCATGTAAAAAATGGAAAAGCACAATGTCATGCTTGTGTCGCTGGCAGAGCAAAGGACAATGCAGTAAGGGACAGCGACAAATAGGGGAGAAACAGAAATGTGAAGGCCCCTTAGAGTGAGCACAACAAGCTGGAACCTTATGTGGTGGATGATAGCCAAAGCACAGGCTTGTCAAGGAGGAGATGGCAACGTGTTGAGAAAACATGCCAGGAGGACAGCTCCAGCAATCGTGTTGCTAACAAGACCAGAAGGTAACACGGTTGTCAGAGGCCAGCAAGAATAGCTCACAGTAACAGAGATGGGAAATGAAGGAGGAAGCATCAGGGTTACCCAAAGAGACTCAAAGAAGCAGCAAAACATTCAGGCCATGAACAGGAAGGTGAGTCCTACACTGCATGTTCAAAGCAAGAACATGTTACAGGCCCAAGTGTGGAAGCCTGCAGCAGAGGAAAGCAGGAAACAAAGGCAAACCTCGAAGGAGCTTTCTCAAGTTCCATATTGGCCTCAGGGATCTTAAACTTGCAGCAATTAATTAAAAAATATGTTAAGATAGTATGCAAAGCTGCATCATTTAACATCCCTGGCATGAAGGAGGTAAAGAAAAGCAAAGAGAGGATACTAGAAGTGGGTCATTGTGTCTAAGTTATGGGGAAAAAAAATTGAGGGAAGTAAACAGCTTAGTGCAGAGGGTACTGAATGAATGACTAGAATAGTTAGGAGGGAAACCAGGAAAATACTGTCACAAAAGTCAAGGGAGGACAAGATTTCAAGACGGGGCATGATCAAGTGTCAAAAACAGCAGGGAAGCCAAGAAGGATGAAGATGGAATAGAGACCCTGAGACTTGGCCAAGAAAAGGTCATCAGAGATCTCAGGAGAAGCTTCAAGGGAATGAGAGTATCTATACTGAAGTGAACTTATAAAAAAAGTTCTAGACTGCACACAATCATACAGAATCTTGCCATTTTGGAGTGACTGGTCTTTCAATGAAACAAAAATTCATTGGGGCTTTTACTGTTTCCTAATGCCACAAAAACCAGCATATAGAAGTTTTAAGTTCAATATCACATTGTAATTAAGGCAATCAGCAGCAAGAGCAGGCAGCCATTATAAAGTAGTTTTCATCCTTATACTTTGGAACCCTTATAAATGATCAATAACCTATTCCAGGATAAATGGGAAGCCATGCATGGAGAAGCATGCAGCCCAAGGTCAGCCAGCAAAGAAACAGCAGAACTTTGCAGAGAACATTGCTCTCCCAAAGCCCAGACCAGTTCTCTACATTCAAACCTTGTCTGCTTTGTTCAGGTAGAGATAAAAAGAACTTCAGATATAACTATTCTAGCAGCTTGTTTATTTTTCTCTGCAAGTTCCTGATGGGGAGGGAGAATTTGTCTTGGTTTTACTTAACAATAGTTTTTTTTAAGGGAAACTGAAAATTCAGGAACTTTGCTCCTTTAATTTGTGACCACAAAGTGTTCAGATTCTTTCCCAATTATTCAGATTTGAACTTTTAACAGTAATTACATATTTCTGCTATAATCAGCCACAGTTTTTATAGAGCATACACAAAATTTGAATTGCTAATGGTAAAAAACAAAAAAGCAAATATTTTTTCCTCGAGGTATAAAAGCCCTCACTCATCATCTCACCCCATTCCTCATTATTCAGTCTCTCTGATACATAAAAAAGGCCAAAAAAAGAACACACATTCCCTTAGTTCTTGATTTCACATCAAATAAACTGACCAGCTCAGAAAGATGAGGAATGAGGTACTGGGCTTTGCACAAAATGCTCAGCCCAGTTCTGAAAACCAAGATCCTGAAGTGCTAGAGTGAACCAGAGAATGTAATGGAAGGGGGGTTTATTCTAACTAACTTCCTGAGGATGGAGAAGGACCAGAAGAGAAGGGAGGGTGGGAGAATGAAATTGAGTTGGACTATGGAGACTGAGTGCCATTCCCCAGGCAAGCAAAACTGGTTATTTTCAGTGATTAAAAAAAGCAGTTTCTTGAGATAACCTCAGACAAAAAATCCTATGTCCACAGGCATATAATCTAACAAAAGGAAACCAGGAACAAGTCAAAATGCAAGTGTAGAAGTAAGACCAGAGCCTGTGAGATGCAGTAAAAGACTCCTGCCAGTGAAGAATCCTAGTGAGGAGATGAGGGATGCTTGCTTGATGAAGAGAAAAGCAGCATTTGGTCTTCTAGGACCACAGGACAGAATGCCAATGGGACCACAAGAGAAAAGAGATGCAAAGAGCAGGAACAACAGAGGAGTAGGAGGAAATGAGAGTCAAGAAGTAGGCAGGCTGGAAGCATGCTGGGCCTTAAAGGTGCAGGAGAGGAATATGAGTGCCACATGATTCTGTGGAGCCCAGGGATTCAGGAAA